TGCTTTCTTCTTTAAAGATGGTATTGTGTGGTGAAGGAGGTTTTAGGACCAGAAAGATTCTTTAGAGACTTTTATCTTATTTGCAGATGCTTAACTCTTTGCTTTTACTCTTCTCTCCCAACTCCCTTTTGGTAAGATTTCATGAATAGGGGATTAATTTTAAATGAAAAAATGAGTCATACTTCCAACATTTGGCATTTCACCTTTTTGACTTGGAAAAGATTCAGACTTCCAACAAATAACCATGAGGCGGATGACTAGCTATTCTACTTATTTATGCCAGAACTATTTGCTATTGTAATTTAGTTCCTATAGTTCAATGCTAATGATGGTTTCTCAAGCAGATAATCTCTCAAATGTGGATAATGTTGAAGGAGAAGAGGATGTTCGGGCCTGGTTCCCTTGCCCTTTCTGTTATGTTGAAATTGAAGTCCAGATGCTTTGCAACCATTTGCAAGAAGAGCATTGCTTTGACTTTAGAAACGCGGTAATGCAGACATCTGATAGTTGTTTCTTATGTTACTTTCTTGAAGAACATGTGTGTTGGTCAATTGGGAAATGAACAATGAAAAATACTACTATCTGCTGACTTTGGAAAGTATTTCTTCTTGTTGTCTTGAACAGGTTTGTCCCATATGTGCTGCAAATTTAGGTAAAGATCCTCTGGGACATTTTACAGTGCAGCATGCACAATCAGTAAAGGTAAGCATATTTCAATAAGAATAGTACATAAATTATCTGATTATTAGAGCCTATGAATGAGCAAACCTCCCTTTTCCCACCTTGTTTTGCAGAGGAGGAGAAAATACCAGAAGTCAGGCTTCTGGAACAATACTTCAGCAATAAGTGGCAAGGACCCCCATGAAATAAATTCATTCTTGTGCACAAATTTAATGGTTGGCCGCTACAATGTACAAGAACCTGCTCCTGATCCCCTTCTGCTGCCATTTCTCTGCAGTACGGCTCATTCTGATTCTAAAGATGGTCTACAAGATGAGTCCCCTGGTAGTGTTGCTGCTACTCCTGATGCAGAAAGGTACCTATAACTTGCGTATATATATTAATTCATTTTCTCTCAGCTTTCCTGCAAATCTAACAAAAAACAAATTGGAATCACTAGTGCTAAACGTGAAATAATATGGAAGCAAACTTGCAATTCCTAATATAAAAAAATGTACCTTTCTGTATTAGTTGTCACTGGAATAAACAGAGAATCTATGTAGGTGGTGCTCTTTCCCACTTTTGAGAAACCAATGCATGCTATTCAAAGTATTGTATCTCCTTTAGTGCCCCATCAGGTTGAAGTTAGGACTTATCGTGTTCAGCATACAAGAGACAACCAGAGCCCGAGGCTACTAGTAGCAAAGAATCCTTATGTGAGTAAAAGATGATCAACTGTGGTGATGAAACGGGCAGTGATGGACACCTTAAACATGAAAAAAAAGGTACCATTGTTTGAAATGTCCTATGAATTCTACCCTCAGCCCTTAAAATTAAATGCTGAGTGATACCAAAATAGACATTCCCGAGCTATCATTGTTATGACAAATTATTGCTCTGTGAATTGCTTAATTTGAACAGGCAGGAGATATCTCTACTGTTGATGTGCCTAGGTTGTGGGTGCATAAATATATAGATAGATGATAAAGAATTGTCAAGAGGGAACTAGTAGTGCAATTAATCATGGCTTTGGCAGTAGGATGACAGAAATCTATTTTCCTTGCAGCAGCAAGCTGCCAGTATGTGATCCAGCCAAGGAAGAACAGTATGAAGAGAAAAAGCAAAGAGCGGTATTTCTTCAAGAGCTTATTGCTTCAACTATATTCTAAGACATGCATAACCAGCCGGAGGATTCAACCCAACGAAGAGAAAAACTTTTAGTTTTAGAGCATATGTATGAGAATTAATTCTTCACAATAAACATGTAGGTGCTATATGTATCTCATTACTAGCTAAAGTCTCGGAATATCTAATTACATTATTTGTGGCTAGAAACTATTCACACGAAAACACATGCACTGCGTGCTATCTGTCTTGGATCAATTTAAGTACAAACTGAAATATGCTAATGTCTCTCATTTGTCCTCAGGGGCATAACACACCACTTTTGCTACTTATATCCTTCTCGTCCTCTTCAGACATTTTCCTGATATAAGAAATTTCTATGGAGAGTGTATAGTAAGGACTGCGGAGTAATATATTCCTTTCTTAAAATGCTTTTTTTAAACCAAACGTTATAAATTTTCTTGCTGCCTAACAACTTAACAGAAGTTGGCGAATTGGCTTTTAACATATACGCATTGAACATTTCTTTAATATGTGCTTGTTATTATCTCCTATATGGCTGGCTATATCTGAATACAAATTGAACCATTTCAAAAGTAAATCGTTTGTTGAAGGGGCCGACGTTGTAATTGGGCAAACTGGTTCTTAACCCGCAGATGAAGGAGTAGACTGAAACGAAATTTTCCTTTTAACGTAGTCATCAACTTGTTTAGACATAAACATTTTGGTAAAAGGACTAACAATGAAAAGGGCGATTGTAAGTTGTTTGGACAAATTGTTTTAACAGAGAGAGTAAGCATGAACATCACTTTTTTCAATGTTCAGAGGTGCTTAAATTTCACATACCATCAGAATCTGAGGTTCTAATTTTCGGAATGAAGTATTACTCTCATAGTTAAGTAATAAGCTTGATAAAGACCACCTATATTAGCTACTGGTTCTCCATTCTCTTGTTGATCCACTTTCGGTTTTCCTATACCTTATTTACTTTATCCAGAGCATTTACCTGATTCCATAAGCAGACTGGTCACCTTTGCTGCAACCCAAAAGCAGAAACACCAAATAGGAAAAACCCTTTCAGCTTTGATTAGCTCATTAAAACATCTACATTCTAATCTTATCGAATAAAACTTCTTCAGAGCTGCGAATCTTTACACTGTTACTGATGAGTCAACTACATTTAACGAACAGCACCTATCAAGATACCCCATAGTTGCCGGTTGTACTAATGTTGGCAATCATAAAGGAAGCTGTGAAGGCTAACAGTTTACCAAGAGACCGATGTTTTAAAAATAGATACTACATAAAATGATACCAAAAGCCAGCTTGGTTAACTGAATTTTGAAAAAAATTGGTCAAGAGAAAAACCACTGATTCACCAATTCAGAAAAGATCATATCATGAGGTAGCACAAGAACTAAGAGAACTACAAATGTGTACACACTATGACCATGATCATCAACAGGTAACTAAAGGTATCAATCAATCAAACACAGCTCAATCCCAAACTAGTTTTCAAACTCTTGCAAGTCTAGTAAGATTAACAAACACCAACCAGAATATTCAGCCAAAAATACAATCCCCTCCCTCACCATGGATGCCTCAATGGTAAGTAAACTGACAAGCATCAAACACTGGACAACGATGGTCCATCGCTCACCCAAGGGTGTGGCTTAGTGGTCAATCAAGTGGGTGAGAACCAAGAGGTCTCAGGTTCAAGTCCCAGCAAGGGCAAAAAACACTAGGTGATTTCTTCCCTCTATCCAATCCTTTGTGGAAAGAGTTACCTGGTACCTATCGCTGGTGGGAGGTGGCAGATATACCGTAGAATTAGTCGAGGTGCGCGCAAGCTGGTCCGGACACCACGGTTATTTTTTGAAAAAAAGGATGGTCCATCGCAATATTACTGGCATGCTCCATCTACGTAAACTCTATTCTCATTATTTTAAATCTCTTTTCAAGCCTAGATGTTCCAGCATCACTCGCCATATTCAACAGCATCGAATTAACTAGCTCTTTGACAGACCACTGTTCCGAACCGTGAAATGTAACAAGATTAATGATATTGATAGCCCACGTGTATTCAGCCAATACATTTGACTGAATACAGATAGAATGCTCCTTTCGGCCACCATTGCATCATAAACTGAATACCATGCCAAGTAGGGAAATGAAAGATGATGAGCAAAGTGCAGATCTTTGAAACTTATCCAAACAAGTTATTTGTGACATTTTATGCGCAAATCCAAAGGCCATGCAAGTAATCCTATTCCTCTATATCATGATTCAGCAATAGTAGCTCTGCTTGATAAGGCAAAAAGAAGCTGATTGCACCTTAGTGATAATAGTTGTGTTTAGATTTGAGACACTAATTTCAATACACCAGAGTACAGGCATAATAACTAGCCAAATAACCCTGAAACAACACCATAACTCATGGGTGACATGCAAAGGGTGCAGCAGGGAGGAGGAAGAAATATGTGGACTTAACGAGACTTGCCATCACAAATGACATCAAACTAAAAATATCTGAAGATATGTTGCTCTACAATTCGTGGCAACAGGATTGTGCTTGTTTGATTCAGAGCTAAAGGACTGCAAAGCTGCAGTTGATAGGGGATTATAAGAAAAAGCTCGGTTCAACAGCTTGACTTATACCACTTAAAAAACAGTAAACATCACATTATATAACAAATTACATGCTATCACGTTCATTTTCACCAGATGCTACAAACAATCAACTCAACATCAGAGGTTGAATCCAGAGGCATCAAACACATAGTCTCATTCATTAGCTCAGCTTAGTAAAACAGGCTTCCTAGTATAACAGCCAGCTAGAATATCTTTCAAGCATGCTTACAGCAACAAGCATGAACGAACCATCTCACTCCGAGGATAATAAGCAATAGGTATATGACATTTCTCATAGTGTAATTGCTACGCAGCTCACGTACATAAATAAAGACCATTGTCTAGGAATTCCAAGACAGAACCAACTGACCATCTCAGATAGTTCTACTCAGGGATTAAAGCCAGAATTGAGAATAACAATTAAGCATCACTAAACTTAAGTCTTATGAGGTTCTGTCACAATATTTTCCTTACAGGGTCAGCTCATGGCCATCAATTTTAGTTTTAGAACAACATATGCTGGTAAAGAAAACATCTCAGTAATCTTTTTTTTGGGTGTTCCCTAACAGCATCAATTCGTCAAAACAAACATCAAATGCACCTAACTTCATTAGCATGTTAAACTCGAGTTTCAAACACAAAGTATGAATTTGTTCTGGCAGAAAGTAAGATACACAAGAGACAAAATGTTCTCCATCCTTGCAAACAAATGAAAAAACAAAGCATGAAACTGAAGTAAACTCGCAAAGGTCCACTAGGATTGACTTATAACAAGATTTCTCCAACTGAACTAGGATTCTAAAAGATAAGAAAAAAGTAACTAAAAAGCTGCATATATGACAATGGATTAAGAATACTGTGTGACAGGGGCCAGACCATTTGAAGGGAAATTGCTCCGCTATTGGTTGATCACTCGATAATTTTTTGAATGACACCAGCTCCAACAGTCTTTCCTCCTTCCCTGATGGCAAATCTCATCCCTTGCTCACAAGCCACCGGCATAATGAGCTCAACCACCAAGTTCACACGATCACCAGGCATGACCATCTTAGATTCCTCTCCTTTATCAGTCGTAATGGAAGTAACCTTTCCAGTCACATCGGTAGTCCTCATGTAAAACTGAGGCCTGTACCCCGAAAAGAAGGGGGAATGCCTACCACCCTCCTCCTTCTTCAACACATACACAATAGCTTCAAACTTGGTGTGAGGGGTAATTGTTCCGGGTTTTGCCAACACCATTCCTCTCTGAATATCAATCTTTTGAATACCTCTCAACAACAACCCCACATTGTCTCCAGCCATTGCTTCATCCAAAATCTTTTGAAACATCTCAACACCTGTCACGGTAGTACTCCTAGTGTCCTTCAAACCTACAATATCAACAGTGTCTCCAATCCTAACAGTCCCTCTCTCTACCCTCCCCGTCGCCACAGTACCTCTACCAGTAATTGAAAACACATCTTCAATAGCCATCAAGAAAGGCAATTCAGTTTGCCTAACTGGAATAGGAATATAACTATCAACAGCGTCCATCAACTCATATATCTTATCAACCCATTGATTTTCACCTCTCTTAATACTAGGATTAGCCATCAAAGCCTCTAAAGCCAAAAGAGCAGAGCCAGAAATAATAGGAATATCATCACCAGGGAACTCATAACTTGACAATAACTCTCTTACCTCCAACTCAACAAGCTGAAGCAGCTCCTCATCATCAACCTGATCTTGTTTGTTCAAGAACACAACCATGTTAGGGACACCCACTTGCTTAGCAAGCAAAATGTGTTCCTTAGTCTGTGGCATGGGCCCATCAGCACCTGAACAAACAAGGATAGCACCGTCCATTTGGGCAGCACCAGTAATCATATTCTTGACATAATCAGCGTGACCGGGGCAATCCACATGGGCGTAATGACGGTTTTCAGTCTCGTACTCAACAGTAGCAGTGTTAATAGTAATACCACGAGCACGCTCTTCTGGGGCAGCATCAATTTCGTCATATTTCTTAGGGGCGGAGTTTCCCATAGAAGCAAGAGCCATGGTTAAAGCAGCGGTTAGAGTAGTCTTTCCATGGTCAACATGGCCAATAGTACCGATATTGACATGGGGTTTTTTCCGCTCGAATTTGCCACGGGCGGCGCGAACAGTAAAACGGCGGTGGCGGTGGGTGGAAGTAGAAGAAGGGGTGGCGGGTGAGTGGAGGAAAAGAGTGGAACAATTAGGGGTAAAGGAAGAGGATAGGATAAGCTTAGAGGGTTTAGTGGAGGAAGGAAGAAGAGGATTGGTGGTGTTGGAGGATACAAGCTTAGTAGAGGAGGTGGCGGTGGCTGCTGAAATTGAAGCCATGGCCGGAAATTGAAGTTGGGAGAGAAAAGAGAGTTAAGGATAGAGTGAGTGAGAATTGGGATTTGAAAGAAATGAGGAGAAAGGGGATAATAGTGTTATATCCCTTGGAAGGAAAAAATAGGGCCGCTCATATACTCATTTTTTGGGGATTTTTCTATCCATTTAACACTACGCTGCGGCAACAACTTTCCTCTTTGGAATTAGGGGCATGGAAACATTTTTTTCTTTTTTTTTTTAAAACGACATATATAAAATCCAAGTTTTATGTCTTCTTTCTGCAATATGAAGATCCAAGGTATATACTAGATTTTTTAATTATTTGGTGTACGATAAATTATAAGAATTCGATATGTTTTGAGTAAGTTTTATCATAGGAAACAAATTTTATTCCGTGTTTAACTAATTAGATCTTAAAATGTTTATTGGTGCCTATTTGGTGTTAATGTTATACATTGATTTGATGTTTATATGTTTGGTTTTGAAATTAATAATTTAGAACTAATCATTTTCACGAATATGAGTACTAACTGAAATAGGTTTGCTTGTGATAGCTTAATGTTAATCTATTGTGATATGCGCAAAAAGCATATTTGAAATATATAATGTCTATGTGTGTATCTATATCAAATAAGTAAGTTAAAACAAATTAACTCGAGAATATGTCTGGTACAAAGAAAACGCTAAAGTAAAGAGGTAAAGAAGATTATTGCATTTGGTTGTCATTGATCACAAGTGCAGACGCTATTTGAAATTTTTATGATCAGACGATTAGACAATATAGTAGTACAAAATGACATTAATTTATGGCGATTTTCGCACGAGTAATGTTATGAAGGAGAGCTCCATTTCTGTGGCTAAAACGAAAGAAAATGATTGAAAGTGATTCATTCATTAGAGTCTCTCTTTGGGCCACGTTTCTACTTCAGGTACTCTAGTTTTGAGTGTTACAAGCCACTCTTGATCTTGCACCTATTGATCACCCCGTTTCTTTAAAATTTCCCCCTTTTTTTCTTTTCCAAACCGAATATCTTTAAACTTGTGTCAACATATAGTACTGTCCAATTTATTACTCCTTCTGTTACAATTTATTACTACTTCCGTTACAATTTAGACGATACACTTTACTTATTCACCCGTTTCAAAAAGATTATACATTGCTACAATTATAAATAATTTAACTTTAAATTCTTCATTTTAATCATTTTATCCTTAATTGAGAAGCTTTTATAACCACACAAATATCATGGCTTCACAAAGCTTTTACCCACTAAACTTTTAAGTCAACAAATTTTAAAAGTATTCTTTTTTTTCTTAACTCCGTGCCGAAACTGTGATTTAAAATAATACACAAATTTGGGAAAGAAACAAAATGGTCATTCAATTTGGCATGCGATAAAGGTTGCAGGAGGTTGGTTTGAGTTCAATTCGACAATTGCAGCCATACACACACACAGGGAGAGATTGCTTAACTTTGCACAACTCTCGAACTCCACTTGCAATAATTTCATATGGAAGAGAACCAAAACTCAGAACACAAACTGTCATCTCTTCAATTGCGTATCCAACAATTAGTCAGTCACAGAGTTCTTCATCATCAGCCAAGCAACGATATATATCAATGAATTGTCATTGATTCGATGAATAACAAATTATTTGTTCATCATATTATCATGTAAAAACAAAAATAGAAGGGACAACAACAAACATTAGCCATCCGCTTAAGAGATCAAATTATCTCACAAACTAATGATAATCTCACAACCAAAGTAACTTTTAACGGGTCTATAAGACATATCTGATAATGTTAAAGAAACCTATGAAGGTAAATCTCAATATGCATGATTTTAAACCAATTGACCTTTGCTAAATACAAATGTAAATATGTACAAGTATACACATCACGAAAATGCAAGAACCTATTGTAGCTGCAGCTTGAGGCATCCCATACGTGAATATGAGATTTCAAACTGTTTCAACGGGTCAACAAAACCTTCCGAAGGACTACGGAATCTACTCTTCGTGGACAGCGTAAGTTTGAATATGTCATCTAACAATAAACTCACCGGAGGCAAATTGAAGCACCACTCACTGACAGATCACTCTCCTGCCTCCTCTTTCAAAATTACGGCAATTCCCAATCCTGAACTGATGTTGCCCTTGACAGAGCTGAAACAGCGTCTAAATATAGGTCCATTCAAAACACTTCCAGCTACTGAATTTTGCTTGTAACCATTGCCAGAAGCTCTAATATTTTTCAGCATTCTGGAATATCTTGAAACCTTTCAGGATAAGTAACATAATCGGCAGTAACAGTCAATCAAAAGTAACATGATTGGCACATTCAAAGAACAATCGGCAGTTATATCCACAGTTAAATAGCAAAAGAAAAGACAGCATAACTTACATCTGAAAAGAGGGGCTTGGGTCTGCAGAGTTTGAATTCGAGCAGCCTCTTTCATAGTGCAGCCTATGGGGAGACAATTTGTGACCACAAATAGCACGCACTCTGCTGTGTAACTCAGGAGGAAGTTTGTTCATAAAATCTGAGATAGCCAAGTCATGTTTCTCTCTGAGCTCGTCTAGCTCCTTCTGCTGCTTTTCTAGCAGCTTCTCAAGTTTCTCCACAATTTCTCCAATGTCAGCCGAACAGTTCTTACTGAGATGATTGTTTCTTCCCTCTAACGAATGACACTCGGTCTCAGAAATTAAATCAGCAGACTGGTTCTTATCACCTGTGTTTGAATTGGGAAATACACCAGCCTCTTCATCCATATCATTTTCAGTTTCATTCTCTTCATGCTCAAAAGCATCATCACCTGAACTGCTTCCCTCTTTCTGGCTGATAGATGATTGTTCGTTTTCGTCAGTCCAGCTACCCTCGGCAATTGGTGAATCTGCCTGTGACAGATTTGAAGGCCCCGGTCTGAGCGGAGAGCTCGCACTACTGGTTGCTTTTGGTGAATCAGACCAGTACTTACGACCTGAAGGAAGTCTTTCCAACACAAGACCACCAGAACGAGTAGAATCAATTGTTGAGGGGGAAACATCCTCACGAGCTCCAGAGGTACTGCTCTCAGAAGGAGCAACTTCACGAGCTTCAGAGGTACTGCCCTCAGAAAGAGTAACTTCATCAGTAATGTGATTGCTAGAACATTCTTTTGGTTCCCAATCTGGGATATATGACCGGATCTCAGAATCAATCATATCAGCAATAGCAGAGACGTCTTGATCTGTCAGGTCCAACTCCTCAACCATTTCACTAGCAACAGCATTTGCTGTATCAACTTCAATATCAAAGGGGAAGTGAATATTCCTAATATGACCTGAGATGCAGGGCAAATGTCAAACAACTAATGAAGTGATTCGTCTTAGTTTGATGAAGAAACAAGGGCCGAGGCATAACCTGTTGAATCAGTTATTCGCAGTTTAAGAAAAATTGTGTTTAGGTCCTTTCTTTGGCCCTGCACTGTGAAATCTCTGCTTCCTTCAGCCACAGGATCCTTGGGACTTCTTCCACTGTCAGATTGGTCATCACTCTTATCTGCAAGATCCCAAAAGTGTCAATTTTTTCCAGACATATCAGCATAGGGTGTAGCTGAAATCTTCTAGTTACCTGTATGTATGGGGTGGGAACTCAAGGATTTAGATATGCTTCCAGAATCTTCATCTGACTGAAGAAAGGGGTCCATCAATAGTTCACTAGCAGGCAGCCGCTCAGAAACTTTTGCAATACATTTTTCTATAAATGCTTTAACTCGAGGATCCTTCACTTTTGCCAATGATGCGGGCTTAACTCCCTTCAAACGTGGTATAACCAAGATCTTAGCATTGTAAAATACAAATTAATGATACAAGAAATCAAGTGTTAACTAAACCAACTTTAGAACATACATACATCATTGGATCAATCCATAAAGTATCAAAACTACAGTCAATAGAAGAATTAATATTGTTAACCAACACTCAGGATCAAATCATCAAAGTTGGACCCCTCCCAGTAGCAACCCCGAAGAAAAAAAAATATCAAAGGGTGGATTGATTATGACCTTTTTATGTTTCCTAGCTACCAAACAGCATCAGTAAGATTTCTAGCTCCACCAAAGTAAGGCGAAGTTCCAACGAGAGTCACCTAGACTAAGCGCATCTCAAGAGAGCCGTTAACAACACCGATGAGTCTCTCAAAGGATTCCTATTATTAAAATACAGCAGAAGCAATATCAATTGTCTTGGTATAGAGTAGTTAAGATCAAGGTGGATTGAGTATCTCTACAGATTCCTATATTTGTATTTTTTACTCTCGCTTTCTTTTTTCTCCTCCTTAGAATTATCTCTATTTCTTCCTCTTACTTATCTTTTCCACGATTCCCTATCAATGTTCTTGTACCTTAACCCAGATTTCTTTTCTCTTTCCCTTTTTCAGATCTATCACTCTGCCCAAATATCCGCTTTTGATGGCTCTCTAGTATCAAAATTTTAGACTGTTGTCTGCTTCCCCGGCTAGACATCGCCTCAACCACCATGCTTTATTTCGTGCTTCTCATTCTCGTCTCAGCAATGCCTTGTCACCATCTAACACTACTGTAGAAGCAATATCTAGATGCCTTGGCGTAATGTTCGGTAAGGTCAGGCGATTGAATCTCTACAAGAATCCAATATTTTTATTTTCATTATCTTTTCCTTATTCTTCTGTTTTTCTTTCTATTACTTCTTTCTTCTCTTTTAGTTTTCTTTCTATTTTCCTCTTAGTTTTCTTTCCAAGATTCCCTTTGTATTTTTCACCGATTTCTTTCTCCTTCTCTTTTTCCAATCATTTTCTTTGCCGAATTGATCCCTCCCTCCCTCCCTCCCTCCCTCTGGATTTAGCCACCATGTGAGCGAGGCTGCGGTGCCTTGTGACTGCCTAGCAAGGCATCTAGCACTACCATCCATCTCAATTCATCTTTACATCATTGATTGGTCCCTCCATCATTTTCACTTATGTACCTGAAATGAAACCTAATTTAAACTTGTGAAAATCTACACGATAAATTTTTTATTCTTCTGTATCTTCAGCAATCATCCGCTGAATTTTACCACATCTATGCGTTGAACCTAAGATTTGTGATTTTAGCACAATACTTAGTTAAGAAGATAACACGATGGAAGCAAAGATCCATATAGGCAATATCAACTAGTAGCAATTAAAGTGTAATTATTGTTGTTACACTAACACTAGTTCTGGGTATGGATAAGTGCAAGACTTAGATAGAAAATTTCTAAAGTGCCTCAAACGAAAGTTGCTTATACTGTTGGGATAACATGGACCTGAATAGAGCTGAAATAAAGATGATTCATATCGTTGAGCCCAACTAGTGTGGCATTGAGGCGAAGTCGATTGACCGAACTTACTGAATTATCAAACCAATTTAGCTGAACCAAAATGAGTCAGAATCGAATTAAAGCTAACTGCTGTATGATTGGTCAGCATTGGCTCTTCGGTCCCAGCAGTTTCAGAACCAAATTTTGGAAACAAAAACAGCCATTTGTGCAGTTCTATTTCTATTGATACACAAGCACACAAGACATGAAGGATGCAGTTATAACGTTTGAGGGACAACAAGGAAAAAGAGAACATAACAGACGGCAAGAAAGATATGATCTTACTGCTGTCACTTTCTTATATATCTGAGCAGCATTTGCACACTCAACATAGGGATATTCAAAAGTCACCAGCTCCAGTAAGCACATGCCAAAAGCATAGATATCTACTAGCTCATTATATTCCTCCTCATAAAGTTCTGGTGCCATGAATTCCGGAGTGCCTGAGATTAAATATAGAATTGCTCTCTTAAGATACCATCTAAACAACACAAACAATTGCAACCTTGAAAAGATGCAGAAATTAGCAAATTGGACCAAGACCTCACCAATGACACTGTGAGCTGAACGAGCCTTACGAAGAATTGCTGCGAGTCCCAAGTCACCGATTTTCACCTCTCCTTGGTTACCATTGACGAAAATGTTGTCGCACTTGAGATCCCGATGAATAACTGGAGGGTCATGACGATGTAGATATGACAGTCCCTCCAATATCTGCCTAGACCAATTCTTGAGTGCTCGCAAATCAACCTTCTTATGTTTTTTACGGTATCTACACATGCGTACACAATGAGTGTATGCGATTCGGAACGTTTGTTGGGGAGTGGGTGAGCAAACAAGAAAACACAAAAAAAAAATACATACTGTCTTAAAGTCCCAGAAGTGAATATTTCAGTAATGATGTTGATATTCTCAGTCTTTGTGTCAACCCAGGAGTTGAAATATTTGATGATATTCTTGTGCTTGAGGGTTTTAAGCAAATGAACTTCTGAATAAAGACGCTCCAAGTCCACAGCATTCCTCAAGAGATCAGCCACTTTAACCTGGTTCCAAGCTACTTCTATTCCCTCCAATTCATCAAAAGCTCTATATCTATTTTCCCGATAGCAAGTCAAGGGATTGACAGAATAGTACTTCACAACAAATATTATAGAAAAAAAATAGTAGAATGGTAAGCAAATAATATGCATGTAAAGGTGTTAGGATACACTTTCTTAAAAGCTCCTTTTCCCAGAACCTCCTTATACTGCACATAACAGGAAAATCAACTCAATAATTCAAATGCAGACAGTTAACAAAAATTTACCAGTACAAGCAATACAATCAGTAAATGTAACAACATTATCACCAAATCAGTAAGAAGAAGAAAAAAGCGGGAAAAAACTAATAAATTCAGCAAATAATGGAAGCAGATCGGTCAGTGTCACAAATAGCCAAATTCTGTCAAAATACCAAATAAAGGTAAAAAAATAATTGTAGAAGGTGAGAACTGACCCGACCGTAGCGACCAGTAGGATCGAGCTCTACGAAGTCGGGCTCGGATTCAGAATCGTCCAGTTCCTGCTCGGACGCCGAATCCTGGTGCATTCTCTTCCTCAAAAGGAATAAAACTTCAACAAAATTCCGAACCCTAGCTCTTTAATTGATTCAGATCAGTCAAATATAGCAAACAACTATCCCCAATTCAACACTGTCACCCACAATTCAGCAAAATAAAAGTAACAATTTTGATTACTCTTCCTTCACCTAGTAAAGTTGTTTATATGTAGGTACTTTACGTACGTAGGTTTGGTGCAGAGGATCAGTAATGAAAAGAATTGAAGAGACGAAGCGTGTAAAGGAAAAATAAAGGTGGCGGGTGAAAGGGGTGGTGATTTCTGAATGCATATAAACGGAGGGAATCGGCTAACTGATTGCGACCGACGAGAGTCCCAATTTTTTTCAATTTCTTTATTATTCGGATTTGGATTAGTCAACACCGGAAGGTTAAAGGAGTACTCTGGACGTTTATGGGAAAGTCAATGGACTTGGATCCTTTCTTTTGCTTTTTTTTATTTTAAGTAACCCTAGACCCTCGTGGAACTTTAAGGTTACATTTGGCAAATACAGCCAAGTAATTTTTTTTTCTTTCTTTTTTGTGGATCTAAACTTTTGAGTTTATGAGGTCAAGATTATTTTCTTATAAATAACTTCTTAGATGTTGAATAAATTATTTATATATTTAGTGAATTTCTTAATATAAAGTATTTTGTTGAACTCATAAATAGAATTCTAGCTTCGGCCCCGACTAAGGGCCTGTTTGGCCAAGCTTTTGGAAAGCCAAAAAGTACTTTTTGAAAAATTTAGGATGTTAGGCTAAAATAAAATAAAAAGTACTTTTGAGCAGTAGCAGAGCAGTTTTCTGCTTTTAGGGAGAAGTTACAAATTTTAGCTTCTTCCAAGAAGCAGAAGCAGAATCCTTACATTAAATTTATATTTTTCGAATTATTCCTCATTAAATTAGTATTTCTATTTTATTTTTCTCCTTTAACGATAAATAGATCTCTTATCGTGATTTATAAGAGTAAATTTTTAATTTATATCGAGTGATGTATTTTGATATATTTAAATCATCATATAAACAATAAGTAATACAAGATTTCCCAATATTATCTTTTTTTTTTTTGGGTTTATATATATATATATATATATATATATATATATATATATATATATATATATATATATATATATGTAAAACATTCACAAAATTACATCAATATAGGGGGATGAGGTCCCCTGATTGTTTTCAGTGTCTACCAAAGTTGCCATATTACAAACATTTACGTTTCTTTCAAAAACAGTTCCTGAGATGTCTCTGCCCACACTGCTCGATTAGCAAACACCGGAGGAATTGACAAAAACTGGGTCTTGTCAAAAACTTCATTCCTAGCTCATTCCTATGCAAGGAGGTCCGCCACTTGGTTCTGCTCCCTGTAGCTATGTCCTATGACTGGGTTGCCCAACTGCTCCATCAGATACCTGCATTCAGAAATTATGGGATTGTGAGTTAAGTTGCCATTTTTTGACATTTCCAACACCATTTCAGAGTCGGTGTCAATCATCGGAGCTGACAAGCCTTGGTCTAGGGCTATTTTTAGCCCCGACCATAGGGCTTGGAGCTCTGCCCTAAGACTATCAGTATTTGGGAGACCCTTCATGAAGCCTAAGATCCAGTCACCCCTATTGTTTCTAAACACCCCCCTCCCCCTATACCTTATTTCCCTGTGTTAAGGCATGCAACCTCATCAGCGTTCAGCTTGTAAAAGCCTATATCTGGTGGGCGCCACTGTAGGTATAAGGTGGTTGTTGCCGGAGCAGTCCTTGTAGTGGCTGCTACATGGTGGTATTCAACAACCTCAGCTATTGTTTGGTGAACATTAATGTGGTTCTTCCTCTTTTCAAAGACACTAGTTTCTCTGCACGTGTGATGCACGTGTATGTGAGTGTTATAGTATGTTGAGTTTTGAATCACTATCTATATATATTAAAATGAAGCTTTGAGTAAACAACTATACATAAAAGAGTAACGTATAAATTTCTGCGAATGATCAATCTGAATTGACATATGACAACTTTTTTGCCGAGGTCAATGTGGATCGATCGTCAGCGATTTGGATTTTTGGTTGGAATGGAGTGTATAGCTAAATTCCTCCAATCCAACCCCACATCTAAACATGAGAACAATATTTAAGTCCTCTATTAACCTTGATTGTATATATATATCTTCTACCAAAAATTATGGTATGAGTTCTTTCGATCATCATAAACGTCCCTCATGTTCGAACCCCAAATGAAAACAGATTTTTTCACATGCAAAACACTATTCCTTTTTTAAAAATGTAAATTAATGAATCTTATCTAGTGATTCTATGTTCTTCTTGATACCTTCATCTCTAGTTTTTTTTTTCAATATATTAATTTTCAAATACAGTTTAAGATGGAGAGATACACCAATGCTTCCTATATATGTATGTTTAAAGTCTCTTTAATTATAAGATTTCCCATCAATAAAAAGAATACAGAAGACTAAATAATTTCTCCTTTAAAATAAAAGAATCTATCTAAATCCTCAATTTTCTTCCTAACGTTTTTCCTGAGTATTGATGTTCTTCCATAAATATTGCTATTAAATGCACTTCAAAAAATAGCATAATCATTCAACATAACAATATTAATCGAAAAAATTTGTGCATGCCAATGGAGCTAAAAGGAGTATTTATTAACACCTGCGTAGAGATATTAAATATAACCAGTCAAATTTTATTTTACCAACTTACATGAAACATCATTATAACATTCAATATAGTGTGACAATTAAAAATTCCAAGTGTCTTGAACTGTAAGTGATTAGTGCATGACCTTATCCAATGGTAGTACCTAAAATATTGTTAACTACTGCTGAAGTAAAGTAAAGGTAACTAACAAAAGAATGAAAAATGAGGCGGATTTAGAGAATTACTTATTATATGAGATAATGTTTAAGTTGGATACAAAGGATCAACAAATCAAAATAGACTTTACGATCTCGAAAGGGAGTTGCTGATTTTCTTCAAGAGAAAACTTTATTATGATGCCATAATTGGAGTCTAATATAAGTGGTAAGAGGAAAGGTTGTTGATATGACTCCTCTCATGCGGACGTACGCAGTAAAGAAAAATTAGCTGACCACCTATTGAACTAGTAAGATGATTGTTATAATCTGCATTGACTAATCACATGTATAGTCTCAAGGTTCTTTATACTTTATATCTACTATTAGATTTTCATTTAGTGAAATTGGAGAATTGACGACTATAGTTTTAGGAAAAACAAGAAAAGAAAATCAAAAAGAACAGAGAAGAATGAAAAAGGGATATTCATATCTCCTCACTCGATTTCATGCTCTCGCTCTTCAACTCCTTCACTTCCTCACTTTCAAGATTCTGCATGATGCAATCCTAGCCTTTGTAGCAATATGAGTGTAATTACCATTTTTCTGGTAATCTATCACACTATTCTTTCATCAGGAAATTTTGTCGGATCCATTATGCACATTACTAAATACTAATACTGTCAGTGTAAGGTGCTAGCCATAAGAAATGCAATGGCACGGGAGAATCTTGTAAAAAAGTGTTACGCTGTCCAATCCCAGCAAGTATGATTTTGATTTGCAGTAATTTGAACAAACAAAGAATAATTGGATATTAGTTAAAATGCCTCTTTCAATTAGATCCTATTTACAAGTATAGTAAACTACCAGGAAACTTTTACAAGTTCCCCAACAGCGAAAGATCCTATTTCTCCTAGAGATTGCTCAGGCTTCGTCATCCACTTTGCGTTACTTCTTTTCCAACGATACAAATATATAATTCATTTAATTTCTGGATTGTTGTGAAAAATAAGATTTTGGGGGAACGACGGTTGGGATATAAATCTAGTATTTGAAATTTCTCTAAAGGAACACATCCTTTCATATCAATGAATTTCAAAACTTTTCTGAAACAACACATCCTTTTGTATACTACTAACACTAAGCGTAGGGTTTTTTAATAAGTAGGACAGTTAGTTTTTTCTAGAAGAACAAATATGTAATTTAACTTTTAAGTTAAGGGTAAGTAGGGTAATTAGATTTTTAAAAGGGTAAAAAAGTAATTTAACTTTTATCTTAAGGGCTTCCCACTTTTAATATAGTATAGATTAGAGTTCCTGGTTAGCTAGATTGCCCAGAGGCAGAAGGGCAGTAGTTGTTTCCATTTGATGCAAGCATTGTAGTCCACATTTTGGAACCTATGCCATGTGTCTTCCCAGTTGTGCATACAAAAGGATTTGCACTAAGGCTAGGCTGCTGAGTACAGTTGCGCAGCAAATGCTGCCAGGATTGTTTGGCATTGGCACATTCAAAGAAGATGTAGTTTATGTCTTCTATTGCATGATCACAGAAGAAGCAATTAGGGGTAATTCTCAGGCCAACGTGGTGTAAGTGATTCCCTGTAGGCAACCTGTTTTGTTGCATGAGCCATATGAAAAACTTGATCTTATTAGGGTCTTTAGTTTCCAAATCCAGCTGAAGTGGTCTTCATTAGAATTGTCATCATGCATAAGTGCATCAAGATAAGAGTAGACTGATTTGGTACTAAACGTGCCATTGGGGTTAAGGTTCTAAATTAGTTTGTCCTCAGCAGAGGTGGAAGTGGGGATGAAGGTGTTTTGTATTATCAGGGTGGTATCAAGTGGGATTGGGTAGGGAATGCAGCTGAAATCCCAAACCCCAACACCTCATTGATCCTGGTGTTCATGTCTCTATGGTGCCATGGACCATTGAGGATTGTATCCAAAGGTTGCATTTTGGGCATCCATGGGTCAGTGAGAAATCTAACCCTATCCCCTTTGTGATCCACCCATCTAGTGCAATTAGTGCAAATCTTCCATCCCTCCTGGATATTTTTCGAGGTTCTAGTTTTAGGCTTAACCCTACTCCCTCATCCATTGCAGTATTTGTGTAACGACCCGGTCGGTCGTTTTGAGAATTTGCACTTTGCTCGGTTATTTGAGGGCATGAGTAGCTCCGTATGATGTACTATGACTTATGTAAATCGTCGGATTTGGTTATTAGGTTATTCGAAATTGATTTGGTAAAATAATTCTCAACTAGAAGCTTTAAATTTTGAAAAGTTGACCAAGTTTGACTTTTTCATATTTGACCTCGAATTGAATTTTTGATGGTTCCGTTGGGTGATTTTGGACTCTGGAGCGCATCCGGATTGCGATTTGGAGGTCCGTGGTAGAATTTGGCTTGAAATGTCGCAAGTTGGAATTTTGGAAAGTTTGACCAGGAGTGGATTTTTGATATAGGGGTCGGATTCCAATTCCGGAAGTTGGAGCAGGTCCATAATGTCAAATGTGACTTGTGTGTAAAATTTGAGGTCAACCGGAAGTGATTTGATAGGTTTCGGCATCGGTTGTGGAAGTTTGAAGTTTCAAAGTTCATTGATTTTG